ATGTTATGTTACACGAGATATAAAACATACTTCAAGGCCTTTCATTCATGATAAAGTGTACAGTTACATAGGTATTTGATTGCCTCTAGGGCACCTAAATACAACAATCTCCCACTTGCCCTAAGGCCAATCAAGCATTTCTCGAATGCCCATGGACCACGTATGACTCTCGTGTTTAGGCTTTCCCAAAGCCTTCGTCTGTACCTATCTTGCAAATCTCAACGTCCCCACGTGCAACGATTTCTCGTATGATGTGATAACGTCTAACGATGTGTTTGGTCTTTTGGTGAGACCGAGGTTCTTTCGCTTGTGCAATTGCCCCATTGTTGTCGCAAAACAACGGTATATGGTTCTTGATGCTAGGAACCACTCCAAGCTCAGTAATAAAATTCTTGAGCCACACACCTTCCTTGGCTGCCTCGGCTGCAGCCATGTACTCTGCTTCTGTAGTGGAATCAGCGGTAGTATCTTGCTTGTAACTCTTCCAGGTAACAGCTCCGCCATTCAAACAAAACACATACCCTGCCTGCAACTTGAAGTCATCTCTATCAGTTTAGAAGCTGGCATCAGTATATCCAACAATACTGAGCTCTTCTTTTCCGCCATATACCAGGAAGGCATCCTTAGTCCTACGGAAGTATTTAAGGATGTTCTTCACAGCCGTCCAATGGCTTTCGCCAGGGTTGGACTGGTATCTACTCGTGACACTCAGAGCAAAAGCGACATCAGGTCTCGTACATACCATCGCATACATGATGGATCAAATGGCCGACGCATAAGGAACATTTCTCATGCATTCTACTTCCTCCGGAGTGGAAGCACCCTGAGTCTTGGAAAGACTCGTGCCTTGGGCCATAGGCAAACTTCCTCGTTTCGACTCAGACATGCTGAATCTAGCGAGGACCTTGTCTATGTATGTACTTTGACTGAGACCTAACAGCTTTCGTGATCTATCCCTATAGATCCTTATGCCAAGTGCATAACTGGCATCTCCCAAGTCCTTCATACAGAAACTCTTACTCAACCATGTTTTGATGGTGGTTAAAGTAGGAATATCGTTTCCTATGAGCAGTATGTCATCAACATACAAAGCAAGGAAGACTACAGCACTCCCACTGACCTTCTTGTATACACAAGATTCATCCGAATTTCTTTCAAAACCAAAGCCGATGACAGTTTCGTGAAAGCGGATGTTCCAACTCCGTGAGGCTTGCTTCAATCCGTAGATTGATCGCTGCAACTTGCATACCTTGGTAGATTCTTCAGGAGCGCAAAACCCTTCAGGTTGT